TAACTGACTGGAGCTGTTTTTTTTTTTACTGGAAAGCTGTTCATACTGAAACTGTTCTACTGAAAACTGTTTACTGGAGCTGTTTCTATACTGAAGAACTGTTTACTGAACGTTTCGACTGCACTGTTTCTACGGGAGGTTAAACTGAAACTTTCTAACTGGAACTGTTCTAACTGGAGCTGTTCTACTGGAGCTGTTCTACTGGAGCTGTTCTACTGAAACTGTTCTACTGGAGCTGTTCTACTGGAGCTGTTCCTGTCTGTACGCTGCATGCGCTCCAGCTACTGTGTGTGTGTGAGTGTGTGTGTTGCAGTAGTGGGTAGGGGACATGTCTACAGCGCAGAGCAGCGCGCATTTGGATGTGTGTTTGTGTGTGAACGCACTTTGGCTCAGACTATGTCCTCACATCAGCCATCTGTGTATGTGTGTTTCTGTTTGTGTGTGTATGTGTGTGTGTCTAAAGAAACAGAGAGAAGGAGTGGGCATAATGAGATGAGAGGGTAGAGGTAGATTTAAATGAGATGAGGGGTAGATGAATATTTAAATGTGATGAGGGGTAGATGTATATTTAAATGAGATGAGAGGGTAGAGTAGTTATTTAAATGACGGGGGGTAGGGTAGATTTAATGTGTAAGGGGTGTTTTTTTTCTGGTGAGGGGTGATGTTATTTAATGAATGAGGGGGTAGATGTATATTTAAATGAGATGAGGGGGTAGATGTAGATTTCAATGAGATAAGGGGGTAGAGGTAGATTTAATGAGTGAGGGGTAGAGGTCGATTTCAATGCGATGGGGTCGTTATCTTTAATGGTGAGGGGGGGGATGTATCTTTAAATGGATGAGGGGGTGATGTAATATTTAAATGGGGTGGGGGTGGGTGTTTTGCGCTTGGGGGTTGGGTTTTTGGCCCCGGGGGGGGGGTAGATTTAATGGCGGGGGGGGTGGGTGTTTTCCATGGCTGGGGGTCGCTGTTTTCCTGTGTGGGGTCGCTGTTCTTTCCCTGCGCTGCGGGTGGGTAGATTTAACTGGCGCGAGGGGGTGAGGTTGATTTAATGTGATAAGGGGTAGATGTTTTTCATGAGATGGGGGGTAGTGTTTTTCCCTGCGCTGCGGGGGGGCTGTTCTTTCATGCGATGGGGGGGGTATGTGATTTCCCTGAGATCAGGGGGTACGGTGTTTCCTGGTTGCGGGGTGTCGCGGTCGATTTCCCGTGTAGGGTTGGTTATCTTTTGGGTGGGTTTGTGTTTTTAATGTGGGGGGTTTATCTTTCACTGGTTGGGGTCCGGTGATTTCCTCGTGGGGGGTGGGTCGCTTTTGGTGGGGGTGATTCCCTGGTGGGGGGTCGCTGTTCTTTTCCCCGAGATGGGGGGTGGTGTCGTTTCCCCGGCTGGGGGTGTGGGTCGCTTTCCCTTCCCTGCGGGGGTCGCGGTCGCTTTCCTGCGTGGGGGGCCCTTTCCCTGCGTTGGGGGTGGCTTCGCTTTTCCCTGCGCTGCGGGGTCGCGGTTTGCTTTCCTGCGCTGCGGGGGTCGCTTTCCCTGGGCTGCGTGGGTGGGTCGCTTTCCCTGCGCTGCTGGGGTCGCGGTCGCTTTCCCTGCGCCTTCCGGGGACTCGCTATCTCTTTCCCTGCGCTGCATGGGTTCGCGGTCTGCTCTCCCTGCGCTGCGGGGTGTCTCAGGGTAGATAAAAAAGGTAGAGACCAGAAACAGAGATGGAGAGACGAGAAAGAATGAAAGAGAGAAACACTCTATCCATACCATGACTACAGACTACAGAACCCAGGGCTGGGAGATGAGGGGAGGAGAGGGAGAGACGGATAGGATGAGGGCTGACCTTAAGTAGGAGGCTGTAGAAGAAGGAGGGCTGGAGAGAAGGCGGGAAGTAGAGAAGGATGGGAATGAGGAATGATGGAAGTGAGAGCAGACTGGACCGGCGGGAGGAGGGACCAGTAGGGCAACGTGAGAGAGATGGGAAGGAGAGCAGTCAGGGAAGGAGGAAGGAGCTGACGTGAGTGCTTTATGCACTTCCTTCTTTCTTTCGCTCCTTATTTGCAGTACTATCCTTCGGGACTGAACTGTCAGGTAGATTAGGAGAGACTGATCTTCGGCGCACTGGTCTCATGCTTTCTTCGCTCCTTGCTGCCGGCGGTGTAGGCAGGGCTGGAGAAAAGTAGGGAATGAGAGGAAGGGATGGGTTAAGGTTTCTTTCAGTAGGTTATGCACCACCCCGCTCACCCTCCTCCTAACGACAACATAGAAAACAAAAAAAAAGGATTTTTTTCTTAGACAGGAGAGCCGCCTGGGTAGTGTGGTTTGTGTGTGGTGATTTGTGATATGGTGGTGTTTTTGTGTGTGTGTGTGTGTGTGTGTGATTGTGTGGGGGGGTGTTTGCATGCGTATGTGTGCACTGTCTACTCTGCATCTATTACTGTACCTGGATGCATTGGCATAGCTTCTGTATAAAACTGTTTGATTAAAGGACACAAGCAAAGGAATTTGTCAGCTCAATGTTCTTCTTCTACTGTGCAAAATGATGCTTTCGTTGCCTGCCTTCCATGGTGGTGGCTGGTTTAAGTAATATGAAAATAACATATAGTAGAAATGGGTAATCTAATACTGGTTAAGAGAATACAATATTTCATGAGGTTTCAGGTTGTTAAGGCCCCTAAACGATCCACGAGAGGATGCTGTTAAGCTCTGAGGAGGCGCTAAGAAGAGGAGGTATAGGGCAGGAGTATGGAGAGAGTATGAGTATCGGAGTAATAGATGAGGAGTAGCGGATTATGAAGGAGAAGAGGAGGAGGTGGAGGAAGAAGAGATGCTTATGATAATGAGGAGAGAGAGAGAAGAGGAGATCAGCAGGATTTCTAGGGATTCTTCTTTCTCCTTATTTGATTGCTTCGGGCGCCGGTCTTACCTGTGGTTCTAAGCTAGGCTGTTTTTGACCAACTGGACTGACTGAATGTGTGTGATGGTCTTCTTGATGCAACGGACCTGCCACTTGTCGTTAAACCCATTCACTGCTTGGGAGAAATAGAGAGAGAGAGAGAGAGAGAGAGATAGAAGAGAGAAGAGAGAGAGGAGATAGAAGAGAGAGAGAGAGAGAGAGATAGAGAGAAGAGAGAGAGAGAGGGAGAGAAGAGGAATAGTGTGTTTGAATCTCCTCTGTATAACTGAGCCGGGGGTAAATTCTCTTTATGACTCAAACCAAGCTATCAGAGAATGGCCACTTTGATCTTTTGTTTGTTAAATGTCTTTAGCAGGGTGGTTCCTGGAAACCAGAGACCTAGCACCTCACCAACACAGCACCGAGCCCAGACAGCCTGGAGTGTCCTCTGGTACACAGCCAGGAAATGAGCTATTATTAGGCAGGTTGCTCTGCCTGTGTGGTTTTGCTGTTTTTTTTATCATTTTTTTGCATGTGTTTATTTGCATTGTGTGTGTGTGGACTGCATGTCAGTGTGTGTGTTGGAGAGAATGATTATGCAGTCCAGATGAGGTACCCTGTTGTGTTTAGTGAAACTAGACTCCATTGGCTGATGATCCTGAGCAAATCAACGTGTCATTGGATTGGATTAAATTGGAGAGCCCAAAAGCAGAGTATTGTACACCCAGACGACTCCAGATCGCAGATAAAATTAGCCACAGGAAGTGTGTGTGTGCGTGTGTGTGTGTGTATGGTCAGAGGCCTCTGTGGAATTCTATGCATGCTGCCACACAGCGGTTGGCCTATACACAACCCTCAGGACACTGGCGAAGGAAAAACGTTCGATAACGAGAGGGAGAGGAGAGAGAGAGAGAGAGAGAGGAATATGAGAGAGCTATAGCGAGGAAGATAGATCGCATCTCTTCAGCCTAGAGAGAGTAGAGCGCTACGAACTAGATAGAGAGAGCGCTCGAGCTAGGTGATACTAGAAGAGAGAGAGAGAAAGATAGATAGATATAGTTGGTCGCGCCTCTCTTGCTCCTCTCCTCTCTTATTGTTGCGCTCGCCTACTCTGTCCTCTCTACGCTTGTCTCGCTCTCTCTCTCTTCTCTCCTCTCTCTTTTTCTCATCTCTCTCTTCTCTCTCTATCTCTCTATCGCTCTCTTTGTTGGGTTCTTCTCTGCCCCTCTCTATCTTCTTCTCTCTTCTCTCTCGTTTGTTCTCTCTCTCTTCTCCGCTCTCTCTCTCGCTCTCTCTCTCTCTCTTCTCTCTCTCTCTCTCTCTCCTTGCGCTCCTCTTCTCTCTCTCTCTCTCTCTCTCTTCTCTCTCTTCTCTCGCTCGCTCGCTCGCGCTGCTCTCGCTCTAGAGCTCTCTCTCTCGAGAGAGGCTCTCTTTCCCTTTCGGTCGTGCTTCTCTTTTTTCCCTGTAGTGGGTGTTGAGTGTCCCAGGTACCCTGGAAGGTCTCTCCCATGTTGTCTCTGGAACCAGACAGGAACATGAAAGCCAATTGAACTTGTGTGATCAGAAATACATGGACATTGAGAGAAAGACAGTGCCTTCGGAAAGTAATAATAATAATAATATGCCATTATTCAGACCCCTTGACTTTTTCCACATTTTGTTACATTACAGCCTTATTCTAAAATGAATTAAATAAATCAATTTCCTCAGCAATCTACACACAACACGCCATAATGACAAAGCGAAAACAGGTTTTTATAAATGTTTGCTCATTTATTAAAAATAAAAAACAGAAATACCTTATTTACATAAGTATTCAGATCCTTTGCTATGAGACTCGAAATTGAGCTCAGGTACATCCTGTTTCCATTTATCATACTTGAGATGTTTCTACAACTTGATTGGAGTCCACCTGTGGTAAATCCAAATGATTGGACATGGTTTGGAAAGGCACACACCTGTCTATATAAGGTCACACAGTTGACAGTGCATGTCAGAGCAAAAACCAACCCATGAGGTCGAAGGAATTGTCCGTAGCACTCCGAGAGAGGATTGTGTCGTGGCACAGATCTGGGGAAGAGTACCAAAACATTTCTGCAGTATTGAAGATCCACAAGAACACAGTGGCCTCCATCATTCATAAATGGAAGAGGTTTGGAACCACCAAGACTCTTCCTAGAGCTGGCCGCCCGGCCAAACTGAGCAATATGGGGAGAAGGGCCTTGGTCAGGAAGAAGGGCCTTGGTCAGGGAGAAGGGCCTTGGTCAGGGAGAAGGGCCTTGGTCAGGGAGAAGGGCCATGGTCAGGGAGAAGGGCCTTGGTCAGGGAGAAGGGCCTTGGTCAGGGAGAAGGGCCTTGGTCACTCTGACAGAGCTCTAGGGTTTGTCTGTGGAGATGGAAGAACCTTCCAGAAGGACAACCATCTCTTCAGCCTTTCTGGTGGAGCGGCCAGACAGAAGCCACTCCTCAGTAAAAGGCACATGACAGCCCGCTTGGAGCTTGGCAAAAGGCACCTAAAGGACTCTCAGACCATGAGAAACAAGATTCTCTGGTCTGATGAAACCAAGACTGAACTCTTTGGCCTGAATGCCAAGCGTCAAACATTTATAAAAAACAGTTTTTGCTTTGTCATTATGGGGTATTGTGTGTAGATTGATGAGGGGGGAGAAGAAAAAAAAAATTAATCAAATTTTAGAATAAGGCTTAAACCTAATAAAATGTGGAAAAAGTCAAGGGGTCCGAATACTTTCCGAATATCACCACCCTGGATTTGATTTCAGGTCCAAGAGGGTTACATGAAACAAACACTTGTCCATATTAAGATTCTTAATTATTATTTTTACTGTTTCTGTCCAACCCAACCACACAATCACACTGTCTTTGTTACTGTATCAACTTATTAGACAGAGATAAGAACACAAGCCAGATTCACTCAGTGTGTGCACCTGCTGTTTTCCACGGGGAGAATAAAAGACAACAATGTGAAACCATTTTTATTTACTCTTCATGGTCTTCTATGAAGAGAACCATACCGTTTTATCTTCCACTCTATGTGTTAAAAAACACCAGGTGCACACTTTGAGTAAATCCAATGTCTAGCTGTTTCACCAATAGACTCCGCCTCACTCTTTCAATTCAACTCCCCCATTTCACTCTTGCCGGATTAAGCAAAAACAGGAGGAGAGGAAGGAAGAAAAGAGTCAAAGAAATTGACAGAGACCCTGACAGAGAGAGAGAAAATCTCTCATTCACACTTAACTCCAATATCCAAATTCACAATACAACATTTATCTCAAATTACTCTTTAGTGTCACAAGAGCCTTTGAGACATAACAGCTTTTATTTCATTTGTGTCTTTGGCTCGCACTCGGCTGTCTGCCTGAACTAAGCAGAGAGGGTGACAGAGCCAAAACCATCAGCTCAGATGACACGCATGGAGAGAGAGAGAGAGAGAGAAAGAAGAGAGAGAGCAGAGAGAGAGAGTGAGGGAGGAGAGAGAGAGGAGCGAGAGAGAGGGGAGAGAGAGAGAGCGAGAGAGAGGAGAGAGAGAGCGAGAGAGAGAGAGAGAAAGTGAGTGATGGGGAGAGAAAGAGATACATTTGGCAGACAGACTCCGAGGAGAGAGTCTGTCCCTTCAGATCTGATCTATCACACCATCACAAATGGTTCATTAAAAGGTGCGTTCTGCCTCTATTTCACTCTGCTATCTTGTCAAAGGAAATCATTCCGATAAGAGGATTCCGATATTAATGGAGAGACATACAGTATAATTAGGTTGGCTCTGTCACTGTATCCTTCTCTTAGGAGCTACCGCAGTCACAATGAAATCCTGAGAAGTCGCTCGAAGTCTCATTATGATATAATAATGATACATCAAGATAGCATTCAATCAAATCTCGACAACAATCTCTATAAAAGTCATTGTGCTATAAAAAAACATCAACAGAGTTATTCAGAATGATTCAATCAAACCTCTACTGCAATGTAAACAATCTCAGGTATTCTAGAAGTGTCATGATCCCCCTAGAGCTGTGTGTTTGAGACTTCTGGGTAATTGCATTGGATTCGTCTCAATCCACTGAATCCACTGAATTCACTGAATCCGCTGATAGCCTCCATATGGGGTAGATGGGGGCTGACCTAGACTGGTAGATGGGGGCTGACCTAGACTGGTAGATGGGGGCTGACCTAGACTGGTAGATGGGGGGCTGACCTAGACTGGTAGATATGGGGGCTTGACCTAGACTGGTAGATGGGGGGCTGACCTAGACTGGTGATGGGGGCTGACCTAACTGGTAGATGGGGGCTGACCTAGACTGGTGGATGGGGGGCTGCCTAGACTGGGTAGATGGGGGGCTGACCTAGACTGGTAGATGGGGGGCTGACCTAGACTGGTAGATGGGGGCTGACCTAGACTGGTAGATGGGGGCTGACCTAGACTGGGTAGATGGGGGCTGACCTAGACTGGTAGATGGGGCTACCAGACTGGTAGATGGGGGGGCTGACCTAGACTGGTAGATGGGGGGCTGACCTAGACTGGTAGATGGGGGCTGACCTAGACCTGGGGGGGCTGACCTAGACTGGTAGATGGGGGGCGGACCTAGACTGGTAGATGGGGGCTGAACCTAGACTGGTAGATGGGGGCTGACCTAGACTGGTAGATGGGGGCTGACCTAGACTGGTAGATGGGGGCTGACCTAGACTGGTAGATGGGGACTGACCTAGACTGGTAGATGGGGGCTGACCTAGACTGGTAGATGGGGGGCTGACCTAGACTGGTAGATGGGGGCTGACCTAGACTGGTAGATGGGGGCTGACCTAGACTGGTAGATGGGGGCTGACTAGACAGGTAGATGGGGGCTGACCTAGACTGGTAGATGGGGGCTGACCTAGACTGGTAGATTGGGGGCTGACCCTAGACTGGTGGATGGGGGCCTGACCTAGACTGGTAAGATGGGGGCTGACCTAGGACTGGTAGATGGGGGCTGGACCTAGACTGGTAGATGGGGGCTGACATAGACAGGTAGATGGGGGCTGACCTAGACTGGTAGATGGGGGCTGACCTAGACTGGTAGATGGGGGCTGACCTAGACTGGTAGATGGGGGCTGACCTAGACTGGTAGATGGGGGTACCTGAGAAGGGGCTGACCTAGACTGGTAGATGGGGGCTGACCTAGACTGGTAGATGGGGGCTGACCTAGACTGGTAGATGGGGGCTGACCTAGACTGGTAGATGGGGGCTGACATAGACAGGTAGATGGGGGCTGACCTAGACTGGTAGATGGGGGCTGACCTAGACTGGTAGATGGGGGCTGACCTAGACTGGTAGATGGGGGCTGACCTAGACTGGGTCTAGATGGGGGGGCTGACCTAGACTGGTAGATGGGGGCTGACCTAGACTGGTAGATGGGGGCTGACTAGACTGGTAGATGGGGGCTGACCTAGACTGGTGGATGGGGGCTGACCTAGACTGGTAGATGGGGGCTGACCTAGACTGGTAGATGGGGGCTGACCTAGACTGGTAGATGGGGGCTGACTAGACATGGTAGATGGGGGCTGACCTAGACTGGTAGATGGGGGCTGACCTAGACTGGTAGATGGGGGCTGACCTAGACTGAGTGGATGGGGGCTACCTAGTGTGGTGGATGGGGGGCTGACCTAGACTGGTTAGATGGGGGCTGACCTAGACTGGTAGATGGGGGGCTGACCTAGACTGGTAGTATGGGGGCTGACCTAGACTGGTAGTATGGGGGGCTGACCTAGACTGGTGATGGTGGGCGGACCTAGACTGGTAGATGGGTGCTGACCTAGACTGGTAGATGGGGCTGACCTAGACTGGTAATGGGGGCTGACCATATACAGGTAGATGGGGGCTGACCTAGACTGGTAGATGGGGGCTTGACCTAGACTGGTAGATGGGGGCTGACCTAGACTGGTAGATTGGGGGGCTGACCTAGACTGGTGGATGGGGCCTTGACCTAGTTGTGGGTGTGATGGGGGCTGACCTAGACTGGTAGATGGGGGCTGACCTAGACTGGTAGATGGGGGCTGACCTAGACTGGTAGATGGGGGCTGACCTAGACTGGTAGATGGGGGGCCTGACCTAGTGTGGTGGATGGGGGGCTGACCTAGACTGGTGATGGGGGCTGACCTAGACTGGTAGATGGGGGCTGACCTAGACTGGTGAGATGGGGGCTGACCTAGACTGGTAGATGGGGGCTGACCTAGACTGGTAGATGGGGGCTGACCTAGACTGGTAGATGGGGGGCTGACCTAGACTGGTAGAATGGGGGCTGACCTAGACTGGTAGATGGGGGCTGAACCTAGACTGGTAGATGGGGCTGACCTAGACTGGTAGATGGGGGGCTGACCTAGACTGGTAGATGGGGGCTGACCTAGACTGGTAGAGGGGGGCCTGACCTATAGACTGGTAGATGGGGGCTGACCTAGACTGGTAGATTGGGGGCTGACCTAGACTGGTAGATGGGGGCTGACCTAGACTGGTAGATGGGGGCTGACCTAGAATGGTAGATGGGGGGGCTGACCTAGACTGGTAGATGGGGGCTGACCTAACTGGTAGATGGGGGCCTGACCTAGACTGGTAGATGGGGGCTGACCTAGACTGGTAGTTGGGGGCTGACCTAGACTGGTAGATGGGGGCTGACCTAGACTGGTAGATGGGGGCTGACCTAGACTGGTAGATGGGGGCTGACCTAGACTGGTAGATGGGGGCTGACCTATGTGGGGATGGGGGCTGACCTAGACTGGTAGATGGGGGCTGACCTAGACTGGTGGATGGGGGCTGACCTAGACTGGTGGATGGGGGCTGACCTAGACTGGTAGATGGGGGCTGACCTAGACTGGTAGATGGGGGCTGACCTAGACTGGTAGATGGGGGCTGACCTAGACTGGTAGATGGGGGCTGACCTAGACTGGTAGATGGGGGCTGACCTAGTGTGGTGGATGGGGGCTGACCTAGACTGGTAGATGGGGGCTGACCTAGACTGGTAGATGGGGGCTGACCTAGTGTGGTGGATGGGGGCTGACCTAGACTGGTAGATGGGGGCTGACCTAGACTGGTAGATGGGGGCTGACCTAGACTGGTAGATGGGGGCTGACCTAGTGTGGTGGATGGGGGCTGACCTAGACTGGTAGATGGGGGCTGACCTAGACTGGTAGATGGGGGCTGACCTAGACTGGTAGATGGGGGCTGACCTAGACTGGTAGATGGGGGCTGACCTAGACTGGTAGAGGGGGCTGACCTAGACTGGTAGATGGGGGCTGACCTAGACTGGTAGATGGGGGCTGACCTAGACTGGTAGATGGGGGCTGACCTAGACTGGTAGATGGGGGCTGACCTAGACTGGTAGATGGGGGCTGACCTAGACTGGTAGATGGGGGGCTGACCTAGACTGGTAGATGGGGGCTGACCTAGACTGGTAGATGGGGCTGACCTAGACTGGTAGTTGGGGGCTGACCTAGACTGGTAGATGGGGGCTGACCTAGACTGGTAGATGGGGGCTGACCTAGACTGGTAGATGGGGGGCTGACCTAGACTGGTAGATGGGGGGCTGACCTAGTGTGGTGGATGGGGGCTGACCTAGACTGGTAGATGGGGGCTGACCTAGACTGGTGGATGGGGGCTGACCTAGACTGGTGGATGGGGGCTGACCTAGACTGGTAGATGGGGGCTGACCTAGACTGGTAGATGGGGGCTGACCTAGACGGTAGATGGGGGCTGACCTAGTGGGTGGATGGGGGCTGACCTAGACTGGTAGATGGGGGCTTGACCTAGACTGGTAGATGGGGGGCTGACCTAGTGTGGTGGATGGGGGCTGACCTAGACTGGTAGATGGGGGCTGACCTAGACTGGTAGATGGGGGCTGACCTAGACTGGTAGATGGGGGCTGACCTAGCTGTGGAGATGGGGGCTGACCTAGACTGGTTAGATGGGGGCTGACCTAGACTGGTAGATGGGGGCTGACCTAGACTGGTAGATGGGGCTGACCTAGACTGGTAGATGGGGGCTGACCTAGACTGGTAGATGGGGGCTGACCTAGACTGGTAGATGGGGGCTGACCTAGACTGGTAGATGGGGGCTGACCTAGACTGGTAGATGGGGGCTGACCTAGACTGGTGGATGGGGGCTGACCTAGACTGGTAGATGGGGGCTGACCTAGACTGGTAGATGGGGGCTGACCTAGACTGGTAGATGGGGGCTGACCTAGACTGGTAGATGGGGGCTGACCTAGACTGGTAGATGGGGGCTGACCTAGACTGGTAGATGGGGGCTGACCTAGACTGGTAGATGGGGGGCTGACCTAGACTGGTAGATGGGGGCTGACCTAGACTGGTAGATGGGGGCTGACCTAGACTGGTAGATGGGGGCTGACCTAGTGTGGTGGATGGGGGCTGACCTAGACTGGTAGATGGGGGCTGACCTAGACTGGTAGATGGGGGCTGACCTAGACTGGTAGATGGAGGCTGACCTAGACTGGTAGATGGGGGCTGACCTAGTGTGGTGGATGGGGGCTGACCTAGACTGGTAGATGGGGGCTGACCTAGACTGGTAGATGGGGGCTGACCTAGTGTGGTGGATGGGGGCTGACCTAGACTGGTAGATGGGGGCTGACCTAGACTGGTAGATGGGGGCTGACCTAGTGTGGTGGATGGTGGCTGACCTAGACTGGTAGATGGGGGTTGACCTAGACTGGTAGATGGGGGCTGACCTAGTGTGGTGGATGGGGGCTGACCTAGACTGGTAGATGGGGGCTGACCTAGACTGGTAGATGGGGGCTGACCTAGTGTGGTGGATGGGGGCTGACCTAGACTGGTAGATGGGGGCTGACCTAGACTGGTAGATGGGGGCTGACCTAGTGTGGTGGATGGGGGCTGACCTAGACTGGTAGATGGGGGCTGACCTAGACTGGTAGATGGGGGTTGACCTAGTGTGGTGTTTGTGAGATGAGGGAGGATGTTCCGAGCGGTTTCTCTCACAAAAACATCTGTAAAGTTAGAACTATTATGACCCCATTTTGAAAAGCTTAGAATCTCACGAACACGAACGTGTCATCTGTTTTGCCGCGCAGGACTCATTAGAAGGTTGGCCACGTCCCAACTGCGCAAAGAAAACTGTGCAGTAAAATTAATGGAAGTGAATGAGGGTTTTTTCTACATAGAAGATTATACACAATTATTGCATTGTGATCGGCCCTGGTGATTTCCTGAACTATCCTACAGTACATGTATAATACCATTCAAACGTTTGGACAGAACTACTCATTCCAGGGTTTTTCTTTATTTTTACTATTTTCTACATTGTAGAATAATAGTGAAGACAGTAAAACTATGAAATAACACATACCCCCTGTAGCTCAGTTGGTAGAGCATGGCGCTTGCAACGCCAGGGTTGTGGGTTCTTTTCCCACGGGGGGGCAGTATGAAAAATTGATGCACTCACTAACTGTAAGTCGCTCTGGATAAGAGCGTCTGCTAAATGACTAAAATGTAAATGTAAATATGGAATGCCAAGAGTGTGCAAAGCTGTCATCAAGGCAAAGGGTGGCTACTTTGAAGAATCTAAAATATATTTTGATTTGTTTAACACTTTTTGGGTTACTACATGATTCCATATGTGTTATTTTCATAGTTTTGATGTATTTGTGAGATATTCTAAGGCCAAATTCAATGTTTCATCAAATAATTTGTAAAACCCATTTTTATACCTACAAAATCAAATAGCTTGATGGTCTATGTTAATATTATCTTACAATATTTCCATATGTTAGGTTAATAGATAGCCTATCATACAAAAAAAGCTAAGAATCTGCTACTTTAAGGGACATTGACATGTCACATTAGCATAAGTAAAGTGCATCAATGAGCAAAGTTAAATATGGGTTTACATTCTATTTTGATAGCAGGTCTCTGTGACCTTTTAGTTACGTTGACCTTTTAGTTTCAATTACGTTGAAAAGTAGTTAATTTCATGTGCAGGGGCATTTCACCTTTAATAAGAAAATAAAAAGCAAATGTATGTAATTACAGTGGATAATGGACTGAAAAGGTGAAAGAAACATCTCTATTTACTATCAGGATTTGATAAAGAAATGTGTGAGTAAGATATGACTAAAATGTCACAGCCTCAGTTAAACTAATAATGTATGACTAATTAGTAGACTAGAGCTTAGAGAGTTAATCAAATGTGTTTACATAAGATGCATATTTGCCCAGCAACAGAGTATGTGTGTCTTGTAATTAGGCAAGCAGAAGTGCAAAACGATTGAAACCAATAACAGGAGACAGATGTCCCCACACAGGGAAGGGGAGTGAAAGGCTTGCAGGATATTGTGAGAACAGCGATAACTATGTATGGGAATAGAGAGAAAATGCAGCCTGCCCGAGCAAGGAGTAGACTATGATAAGAACATGTGTGTGTGTGTGTGTGTGTGTGTGTGTGTGTGTGTGTGTGTGTGTGTATGTATGTGTATGTGTGTGTGTGTGTGTGTGTGTGTGTGTGTGTGTGTGTGTGTGTGTGTGTGTGTGTGTGTGTGTGTGTGTGTGTGTGTGTTGTGTGTGTGTGTGTGTGTGTGTGTGTGTGTGTGTGTGTGTGTGTGTGTGTGTGTGTGTGTGTGTGTGTGACCTGATGGTCAGGAGAGCAGAGGATAACCACATGAGCTAAACCCAGGTGTGAGCTTACAAGTGGAAAAATACAGCCTAAAGCGGGGTGGGATTTTTCCTCTGACGTGTGTGTATAAAAAGATTGTACGTCCATTTTGTGGCAGAGCGCTCTCATGAATAAAGGCTGACCATTGCAGAAAGGGGTCTTTGTTTAATTCATTATTCAAACTAGAAATGTACACCTCTGGGAATTATTCAAAGATTTAAGAAGTAGTTGACTTCAACCATTGAGATAACAAAATTCTCGTGACAGGATTACAACATAACTGCCATTTCTACATCAACAGGGTTGGTTACTAAGCAACTGGAAATGCAGATTGGAGAGATGATCTCCTTCACATGAGAAGTGAGCTTCGGCTCTACACACATCCTCCAATGTTTTTACTTGTTAACAGTTTAGGCTTCATTATATTGACATTTACATTTTAGTCATTTTAGCAGACGCTCTTATCCAGAGCGACTTACAGTTAGTGAGTACATATTTTATATATTTTTATATATTTTTATTTATTTTTTATACTGGCCCCCCGTGGGAAACGAACCCACAACCCTGGCGTTGCAAACGCCATGCTCTATCAACTGAGCTACATCCCTGCCGGCCATTCCCTCCCCTACCCTGGAGCAATTGTGCGCCGCCCATTAGTCTCCCGGTCGCGGCCGGCTGCGACAGAGCCTGGATTCAAACCAGGATCTCTAGTGGCACAGTTAGCACTGCGATGCAGTGCCTTAGACCACTGCGCCACTCAGGAATATATGGGTTCATTACAAAGCTATCATTCCAGGATAGCTGAGACAACAGTTGAATACATAAGACAAAACTTGGATAAACTTACAGTACCAGCTGGTTAATTATGTAAACTGTTCCATAGTTGTATGTTGTCAGGGAGTCAGGCCTATGTAATACCGTGACTGTTCCTTCCACAGACCACATCAGTTCTATATCTATGTTTCAATATATGGGTTCTATATCTATGTTTCAATATAAGGGTTCTATATCTATGTTTCAATATATGGGTTCTATATCTATGGTTCAATATATGGGTTCTATATCTATGTTTCAATATATGTGTTATATATCTATGTTTCAATATATGGGTTCTATATCTATGTTTCAATATATGGGTTCTATATCTATGGTTCAATATATGGGTTCTATATCTATGTTTCAATATAAGGGTTCTATATCTATGTTTCAATATAAGGGTTATATATCTATGTTTCAATATATGTGTTCTATATCTATGTTTCAATATATGGGTTCTATATCTATGTTTCAATATATGGGTTCTAAATCTATGTTTCAATATATGGGTTCTATATCTATGTTTCAATATATGGGTTCTATATCTATGTTTCAATATATGGGTTCTATATCTATGTTTCAATATATGGGTTCTATATCTATGTTTCAATATAATGGGTTTCTATATCTATGTTTCAATATATGGGTTCTATATCTATGTTTCAATATATGGGTTCTATATCTATGTTTCAATATATGGGTTCTATATCTATGTTTCAATATATGGGTTCTATATCTATGTTTCAATATATGGGTTCTATATCTATGTTTCAATATATGGGTTCTATATCTATGTTTCAATATATGGGTTCTATATCTATGGTTCAATATATGGGTTCTATATCTATGTTTCAATATAAGGGTTCTATATCTATGTTTCAATATATGGGTTCTATATCTATGGTTCAATATATGGGTTCTATATCTATGGTTCAATATATGGGTTCTTTATCTATGGTTCAATATATGGGTTCTATATCTATGGTTCAATATATGGGTTCTTTATCTATGGTTCAATATAATGGGTTCTATATCTATGGTTCCTTCCACCTCATTCCCTTTGATTCAGTCAAGAACATCCCTGTGTGAGATATTGTAGTCTACTAAACTTGAGATAGCTGCAACCTGGACTCAGGGGTAGACGTAACATAATACGATATGTTTAGTTTAGCATGGTATATATTCATTTGTGGATGTCCATCATCCATTTCGTATGATATGTTACGAATTACAATTTGATGGGGCTAATGTTAGCTAGGTGCTAATGCTAATATTAGCTAGGTGGTTAATGTTAGCTAGGCTAGGGGTTAGGGTTAGGAGTTAAGATCAATCAAGTGAGCTACTTCTGGAACAGCTGAGGGTCTCTGAGGAGAGAATTGGGAACCACTGACTGATTTAGTCAACTGTACTCAACTGAAACAAGGCCATATGTGACTCTTTCACAAGACACTGTCACTGACCCTAGTCAGTACAAAACATGTCTTCTTCTTCTTCTTCTTCTTCTTCTTCTTCTTCTTCTTCTTCTTCTTCTTCTTCTTCTTCTTCTTCTTCTTCTTCTTCTTCTTCTTCTTCTTCTTCTTCTTCGTGTGGTTTTCCTGCAGACTAGATGCGTTGTTGCGTATTGCTGCCTTTCACAGTTTGGAAAGTGCATTGGACATTTGTAAAAATAAATAAATAGGGAAAAAGGAAATTGCACCGCCATCTAGTACTGGTACTGGTACTCCCTGTATATAACTATTACCCCTACACATTGATCTGGTACTGGTACTCCCTGTATATAACTATTACCCCTACACATTGATCTGGTACTGGTACTCCCTGTATATAACTATTACCCCTACACATTGATCTGGTACTGGTACTCCCTGTATATAACTATTACCCCTACACATTGATCTGGTACTGGTACTCCCTGTATATAACTATTACCCCTACACATTGATCTGGTACTGGTACTCCCTGTATATAACTATTACCCCTACACATTGATCTGGTACTGGTACTCCCTGTATATAACTATTACCCCTACACATTGATCTGGTACTGGTACTCCCTGTATATAACTGTTACCCCTACACATTGATCTGGTACTGGTTCTCCCTGTATATAACTATTACCCCTACACATTGATCTGGTACTGGTACTCCCTGTATATAACTATTACCCCTACACATTGATCTGGTACTGGTACTCCCTGTATATAACTATTACCCCTACACATTGATCTGGTACTGGTTCTCCCTGTATATAACTATTACCCCTACACATTGATCTGGTACTGGTACTCCCTGTATATAACTATTACCCCTACACATTGATCTGGTACTGGTACTCCCTGTATATAACTGTTACCCCTACACATTGATCTGGTACTGGTACTCCCTGTATATAACTATTAGGAAAACCAGCCACGTCGCCAATACCGATGTCTCGCTTCCAGACAATCTAAACACCTTCTTCGACCGCTTTGAGGATAACACATTGCCACAGACGAGGCCCACTACCAAGGACTGTGGCCTCTCCTTCTCCATGGCCGACGTGATTAAGACATTTAAGCATGTTAACCCCCGCAAGGCTGCCGGCCCAGACGGCATCCCTAGCCGTGTTGTATTCGGCGCATGTGGCCAATAACATTTGATTTGATTTGATCTGGTACTGGTACTCCCTGTATATAACTATTGCCCCTACACATTGATCTGGTACTGGTTCTCCCTGTATATAGCTGTTACCCCTACACATTGATATGGTACTGGTACTCCCTGTATATAGCTATTGCGGTGTTCCACTGATATACACCCTCATATAGTGTTCCACCCTGTTCATGAAAATAGTTTGCTCCTACAGACAGAGTCACGTGTCCGTGGCTTGTTATATAAAGCAGGCAGACAGGCATCGCTGCATTCAGTTACTGTTCGATGGACGCTAGAATGGGCAAAACGAGTGACCTAAGCGACTTTCAGCGTGGTATGGTCGTCGGTACCAGGCGCACCGGATCCAGCATCTCAGAAACGGTAATCCTTCTGGGTTTTTCTCTGTCTATGATTTACAGAGAATGATGCGACAAACATCCAGTCAACAGCAGTCGTGTGGGTGAAAACATATCGTTGGAGGAGAGAGGTCGAAGGAGATGACAAGAATGGTGCAAGCTAACAGACGGGCAACAAACAGACAAATAACGGCACAGTACAACAGTGGTTTGCGGAACGGCATCTCGTAACGCGCAACTCATCGGTCCTTGTCACGGATGGGCTACTGCAGCAGACAACCACACTGGGTTCCACTCCTATCAGCTAAAAACAAGAAGAAGCGGCTCCAGTGGGCATGAGATCACCAACACTGGACAATTGAGGAGTGGAAAAACATTGCCTGGTCTGACGAATCCCAGTTCCTATTGCGTCATGCAGATTCAGGACTTTGCATAAGCAGCATCAGTCAATGGCCCCATCCTGCCTGGTGTTAACGGTAAAGGCTGGTGGCGGTGGTGTAATGGTGTGGGGAATGTTTTCCTGGCACACATTAGGTCCCTTGATACCAACTGAGCAGCAAACGTTTCCGACCCCTTGTAGAATCCATACCCCGAAGAATTCAGGTCGTTGGCCTGGGAGGCTGGAACCCCTTCTCTCAAAACCCCCTGTAGTTCTTCTGCACTAAAATCTCTGATACCCCAAAATGTCTCTGCTGCTGCTCTTACCAATTCAATCTTCTGGGATTTCCTTTCCATCTGTGCGGTACGAACGCCTAGAAGCCAACCTTACTAAAGCACAAACTGTTCAGGTCACTCTGTACTGGCATACTACTGACAGGGATCCTCTCTGGCTCCCTCACCCTTTACCCAACATTCTCTACTTTCCTCATTGCCTCTGCACTTCCTGCACTGCTCTCACCCTGGAAACTTCAACCTGTCTCACTCGCACAGGACATTTCTGATCCCCAGCAACATGGCCACCCCCACAATTGAAACACTCCACTTTTCCCCCAGAAACTACACACTCTTTTGTCTTCATGCCCTCCTGCACACTTCTCACACCTCGGAATATCCCTCCTACATACTGCTGCAACATAACAAATAAACTTGGCACCTGAAACACCGTAGTGGGTTCGGAACAAAAGCTCTCATGGGATAGCTTATTTACGCTAGCATGACATTATCCCACAAACACTCTAAGGACAGACAGGGTCTCTTCAGGCTCGGGTCTGCGTGGCACCAAACGGCGTGTATCACAGACACCGGGAATCCCCAACTTCAGTTGATCCACCTTAACCCCACCCCAGTTATCACTCCTTTCAGTGGCGCTCTGCTCCAGAGAGCAAAGCAGGGGACCACTTTCGTCCCGAGACTTGAAAGGTGCCGCGCCCTCTCCCTCTGACCAGGGAGAGGGCGCTCCACCTCTGGAAACTCTGACCAAATTGACAGAACCCAACTCCTTTACCCAGCCTGATACCACAATGGATCGGCCAAAAGGCATGGATCCACTTTCTCCACGAATCGTACTCCCACTGGGCCAGAATCATCTCTGGCATTTTCCTGATCATTGGGTTGAGGCCCGGAAGCCGTCACCTCACCTGATGACGCAGGTTCTTTCTCCTCACTTTTGTCAGGATCAATTTCAAGTTCATTATCTGTCTTCAGGTGCGTAACATGCATTTTTCTCTCCTGTACTTGACTCAAAGGAGAAAGTACTCTGCTTGCATTTCTCAGTCGGTTTCGGGTTTGCACCTCGCTTCTTCTCGCCATCCGCCCTTTTCCTCGCCCGGTCCTCCCGACATGATGACTTCCATCTCTGTGTGGGACTTCAGGAAACTCAGCATCGAACCGCCTGCTGCCGCCATGATGACTTCCATCTCTGTGTAAGACTTCAGGAAACTCAGCATCGAGCCGCCTGCTGCCGCCATGATGACTTCCATCTCTGTGTAAGACTTCAGGAAACTCAGCATCGAGCCGCCTGCTGCCGCCCTGCTCCCTCGCTCATCCACACATTATTTTTTCACGAGCGTTTTGTTCCTGAGTTTTCAACTATAACACAGGAGGCTGCTGATAAGGCAGATAAGGCAGCTCATAATAATGGCTGGAACGGAGCGAATGGAATGGTATCAAACTCATGGAAACCATGGAAACCATGTGTTTGATGTATTCAATAACATTCTACCGATTCCACTCCACTCCACTCCACTCCACTCCACTCCACTCCACTCCACTCCACTCCACTCCACTCCACTCCACTCCACTCCAGCCTTTACCACAAGCCCGTCCTCCCCAATTAAGGTGCCACCAACCTCCTGCGATGTAATAGCATAACACAATACATTAGATCAACTGGAATGACAGTCTCACTCACAGTTGCACAAAAACAGCAGTGAGCAAACCACGCCCCAAAATATTAAAATGAGCCGCCTCCCATACATTTTAACTACCACTAAAAGAGCAAAGAACCCTTTTGTGAACTGTAAAGAACCGTTGAAGAGCTCAAATAACCCTTGTTTTGTTGTGTAGCCTGGAGGGTCTGGTAACTCAATACCCGATACAGCTCACACGAAGGAAGGACAAAGGATCAGTCAGATACTACCAACATTGAGGGAACAATGCATAAAGCATTGTCACTGCAGCCTATACAAAGAATACATAAACGTTTATAGACATCTTTAAACAGTCTAACAGACATTTGGAATGAACCCACACAGACAATTAGTGTAAATAGGTATGTAGTGATCTGTTGGGACACGGCCGGCTGTGGTTTTGTGGTTGAGGATGTTTTATCAAGCTACCCTCTGGACAGAGAGAGGACGATGCCCAGGGAGAATGTGAGGAAACCACAGTGAACCACAACGTAGTCGCCATACTGTTCTGTACAGAAATACAGGAAGGAAACCTCCAAGAAACAAGCCGTAACTGAGGAACCGTTCCATAGCTCGCTCACCCACGCATGATGGTCCTCTAGTTACCATGGCAAAGGCAGATACATAACACACACGTCCGTAGATGCATGTACGTGATGTGCGCACACAAACACACACACACACACACACACACACAAACACACACACACACACATCAGTATCTAATCTAGCTGAACTTTAACATAGAGAGATGGAGGTTGAAATAGCTGAGATCCTATAAATAACAGATTGTTTCGGTGAAATGTTATCAGATAGGGTGGAGACTGTTTGGAAAAGAGCCAGTTACAGTTGCCCTGTTGATGAACTGTGTGTGTGTGTGTTTATGGACTGTGCATTTATTGTGCTTCAATTGTCCAATTACTTGAAGAAAGAACAGGAAATAAGGCCTGGTGATCGTCTATGCCCCTCCGAGGCTGGTATCGCATTACCACAACTACAATAATCATTTTATTTTCATGATGACTCGCATGACTTAAATGACCTAAAAGGTGCCCCACCAAAAAACCTCCCCCCCTTTTCCCCCCCCCCAAAAAAAAAAAAAATTTGTTGAAAAAAATAAGGCCAAATAACCCACAAAAAACCCATTAAAAAAAAAATTTAAAAACTTTGGAAAAATGGGGGAAAAAAGTTTTTTCCCAAAACCTCAACCGGGGGGGGGGCACAAAAAAAACCCCCCCGGGGGGGGGGGGGGGGGGGGGGGGGGGGGGGGGGGGGGGGGGGGGGGGGGGGGGGGGGGGGGGGGGGGGGGGGGGGGGAAAAAAAAAAAAAAAAAAAAAAAAAAAAAAAAAAAAAAAAAAAAAAAAAAAAAAAAAAAAAAAAAAAAAAAAAAAAAAAAAAAAAAAAAAAAAAAAAAAAAAAAAAAAAGGTGACCCCACGCCCAAAAAATAAATAATCTTTTAAAATTTTTTTTAAAAGGAACCTTTGTGCTGTACGTGAAAGTTTCTAAAATGGTTTTCCCAAAAAATCGGGAAAAATAATCCATCCCCCAGACAAACCCTCCGTATCTCCTAAAAAATTCATCCTGTCTCCCTAAAAAGATCCTGTCTCTTTAAAACACCCTCCGCCCCCTTTTAAAATACCACCCTTATTCTTGGGGAATATCAACCCCCTTTTTTTTAAAATATACCCCTCCCTTTTCCAGAAAACCCCCTCCGGGTTTTAGAAACCCCCCTTGACCCCAAATACCCTCCTGTTCTTCCTAGAAAAAAGCCCTCAGAAAAAACCCCGTACCCTGAAAACCCCCCTTCATCTTCGTTCACCCCCCTGTTCCTCTAGAAATCCCAAACCGTCCCCCTTTACACCCCTGGGGGATCTTTCCCCCCCTTTCACCCAAAACCCCCCCACAACACCCCCCCCCCAAAAACCCCCCCTTATCTTCTAGAATTAAACGGAATTTTAAAAAATTTTTTGATCCCAAAAACATTTGTTTCCCCTTAGAATATCATTGACTTTTAAAACCCCCTCGTTCCTTTAGAATTTTTGGGTTTTTTAACCCCCTTTATTCTTAAATTGTCCTGTACTTTAGAAAACCCCCTGTACCCTCAAAATTTCCCCTCCGTATCTCCCAGAATATCATTTTTTTTCAAATAACCCCCTCCTGTTTTCTTCCTAGAAATACCCCTGATTCCAAATAACCTCCTGTCATTTCTATCCCCCTCCTGTCTCTCTCATACCCCCTGTATCTCTCTAGAATATCACCCCGTCACTCTCTGAATTCACCCCCTGTCATCTCTCTAGAAATACCCCCCTGTATCTCTCTAAATATCACCCTCCTGTCCCCCTCTCTAAATATCCCCCCTGTCATCTCTCTGAATATCACCCCCTGTCTCCTCTATCACCCCCCCGCTCTCCCTAGAAAAATCACCCTTCATTCTTAAATATCCCCCCTGTCATCTCCTCCCCCTCCGTCTTTCCCCCTTAAATATCACCCTCTGTATCCTCTAAAATACCCCTCCTGTCATCTCTCTAGAATATCCCCCCTCGTCATCTCTAAAATTTAAAACCCCGTCATCTCTAAAATTCACCCCCTGTCCTCCTCTAAAATTCCCCCCCTGTATCTCCCAAATATCACCCCCCCCCCTGCATCCTTTTAATATCACCCTCCCTGTATTCCAAAATATAAACCTCCTGCATCTTCTAGAATTCACCCCCCTCTCATCTTTGAATTCCCCCTCCTTCTCTCTCAAAATATCACCCCTGTCACTCTCTAAATATCACCCCTGTCATCTCTCTTTTAAATATCCCCCTGCTCTCTCAAAAATCACCTCCTGTCATCTCTCTAGAATATCACCCCCCTGTCATCTCTCTGAATTACCCCCTTCATCTCCAAAATTACCCCTGTCATCCTCTGAATTCACCCCCCTGTCATCTCTCTGAATTTCCCCCTCCTTCACTTTTTTAAATTTCACCCTCCTTCATCTCTCTAAATTCCCCCTTTTCCCTTTCATTTTTCTCAAAAAAAATTTTCACCCTCCGCATCTCTCTGAATTACCCTCCTTAAATCTCTCGAATTCCCCCCCGTCACTCTCTGAATTCACCCCCTTCATCTTTAAATTCACCCCCCTTCATCTCTCTTAAATTTCACCCCCCGTCATCTCTCTTAGCACCCCCTTCCCTCTCTCTGAATTAACCCCCTCCCCATCTCTCATCACCCTCCTTACTTCAAATTCCCCACCTTCCCCCATCTTTTTAAAATTCACCCCCTGTTCTTCAATTCACCATCCTGTCATCTCTTAGAAATCCCCCCCCCCTTTCATCCTCGAATTCACCTCCTTCTCCTTCTGAATTCACCCTCTGTCATTTTTCTGTAAATGTCCCCCCCCTGTTCTCTTGAATTCACCCTCCGTCCCCTCTGAAGTCACCCCCGTATCTCTCTTAATTCCCCCCTTGCATCTCCAGAATATCCCCCCCCTCTCATCCTCTGAATTCCCCTCCCCATCTCTCTGTAATTTCCCCCCCCTTTTCACCTCGTAATGACCCCCTGTCATTCTCAAAAATATACCCCCCCTGTCATCTCCGAATTCACCCCCTTTCCATCTCTCTAATTTCACCCTCCTTCATCCTTTTAATTACCCCCCTTCATCTCTCTGAAATACCCTCCGTCATTTCATAAATAAAACCCCTTGTCATCTCTTTTAAAAAATCCCCCTCCTTTTTCCTCTTATGCCCCCTGCTCTCTTGAATTCCCCCTCCGGGTTTATCTCTCTAAATATCACCCCCCTGTATTCTTAGAAATTTCCCCCCCTCCTGTCACTCTCTATATATCCCCCTTGTCATCTTCAAAAATTTCACCCCCCTTTCCATTTTTTCCCCTCCTGTCTCTCTCTGAATTCCCCCCCGTCATCTCTCACACCCTCCTGTATCTCTCTATAAACAACTTCCTTCATCTTCGAAATGTCCCCCTCCTGTCATCTCTCTGTAATGTCACCCTCCTCTCATCTCTCTGTAATGTCACCCTCCTGTCCTCTCTCTGTAATGTCACCTCCTCTCATCTCTCTGAATTCCCCTCCTTATCTCTCGAAATTTACCCTCCTCTCTCTCTCTGAATGTCCCCCCCCCTTCATCTCTCTTAAGCACCCCCTCCTCTTTTCCCCTTAAATGTCACCTCCTTCATCTCTCTGTAATGACCCCCCCTGTCATCTTCTTAATTCAACCCCCTTCATCTCTCTGAATTACCCTCCTCTCTCCTGTAATGTCACCCCCTTTCCCCCTCTTCTGTAATTCACCCTCCTGTCATCTCTTTGTAATGTCAGCCTCCTCCCATCTCTCTGTAATGTCACCCTCCTCTCTCCTCTGAAAAATGTCCCCCCCCCTTATTCTCTTAAGTCACCCCCCCCTTATCTCCTGATTCCCACCCCTGTATCTTCAAATTTCCCACCCTCCTGCCCCATCTCTTTTAAATTCCCCTCCTCTCATCTCTCTTTAAAATTCACCTCCTGTCATTCTCTGAATTCACCCCTCCTCCCCTCCTCTTAATTTCCCCCCTCCTTATCCTTTAATTAAACCCCCCCTGTATCCTCTTAATGCACCCCCTCTCATCC